GATGACCCTGCTGCAAACAGAGAAAAATTACAATACCAGTTGTATTAATTACTGCATTTTAAACTCCATTTGTTTGTATTTATGTATGTGTGGTTTGAGGAGGCATCAATTAAAAGCACTCTGTCACTGAATAATTTTTATTCATCACTGAAAAATCTATATGCTGTAAATTTATTGGTGTGGATTGGAAAATTGAATGTCTTTATGATTTGTTAGAAATTTAATAAGTAAAATGGTTAATATTGAGTTTTGTAGAGTTCACTTGTTAATTGTAACAAAAAATATTTTAAGACTGTTATTAGGTTGATGCAGGGCTCCCATTTAGGCAATAAAAGATTTAGTCTAGACTGCTTAGATATAAACAAATATAACAGTAGTAATGAAGGCTAAAATCATAAAAAGCAGCAGCAAATAAAAAAAATCCAATTATCTTCTGTGCATACGTTTAAACTTGAAATATTTACTCCAATTATCATTTAAACTAAGATAAAAGCATATCAACAAATAAACATGTTTCAGCTCAAGCTGTCGTTCTGTTGCTGTACTTTTATTTTAAACTGACAAACTTACAGTAGGTCTTGTTTTTAATCACACAACTTACACACTGTTTAATAAAACCCTGCCAGGTCACCATGATTAGGCAACGAGGTGTACTTGTACCTGAGGCCAACCATATATTTGTGCTCGAGTCCGCTCGGACCTCCTCGGACCGTGTGCGCTCGAGTATGTGGGAGCCTTAACTGTTAGCGGAAGCGCTAACATCGTAGCATTTGGTGTTACACAAATAACATTCCAGGCGGACAAAAGTGCACTGATTATAGCAGTATGTATTTTTTACGAAGCTTCGAGGCAGATAAATTAGCCTCAAGGACTTTTATGTAATCGAATTACTCGAATTGTTCGAGGAGTCGTTTCAGCCCTAACTTGGATAGTGATGTAGATAAAAATATTACATAGAGGATCCTTCAGAGCCAGAGGACAATGCTATTGATGATCCAGTTTATCAATTTTCCCATGATGAGGAGCATTCAGAGGATGAGTTTGCCAGTTTGCCTTCATCAGATGAAAACCAAGAAATGCACAAATTGTCATCCACAGAGCGGTCATGGACATCCAAAGATGGTAAAATAAAATGATCAACTTCATCACCACACCAAAGCCGAGACAGATAGACATCTTCTAATGTCATCAAAATGACTCTTGATCCGACAAGATTTGCTGTCACAAGAGTTGAAGATATTGAATCAGCATTTCAGTCCTTCATATCCCAACCCATAGAGAAGATAGTCCTTGACATGACCAACCTGGAGGGGAGGAGTATCTTTCAAGAAAAATGGAAGCCACTGGATCCAACTGACTTGACTTGTCGACACGAGAAAGACAAACTTGGAGCAATCAGAGATGTCTGAGATAAATGGGTCGAAATCCTGCTTTTATTGTATAATCCTGGCCCCCATGTTACTGTCTATGAGTGCCTCATTCCATTGAGAAGATGCTGTCCATTCTGATTGTATATGCCAAACAAGTCTGCAAAATATGGCATAAAAAATTTTGGGCAGTCTGTGATACAAAATCCCGTTATGTGTGGAACCTGCAAGTATATACTGGAAAGCCACCTGGAGGAGCACCTGAGGAAAATCAGGGTATGCGTGTGGTATTGGAGATGACTGAAGGACTGCAGGGTCACAACATCACATGTGGCAACTTCTTTACATCCTACCGTCTTGGAGATGAACTTCAGGAGAGAAAGCTGTTGGGAACCGTCAGAAAAATTAAGCCAGTACTTCCCAGTGAGATTCTGAAGATGCAAAGAAGACCTAAATACTCCAAAATAAAGTGCTGTTTTGTTTAATTTAATTTTTTACTGTTTTGAGTGAATTTACACAACACGGGTCAAAATGACACGAAACATAATAAATGTATTTTTTCTCAACACAATACAAGGGTTAAATCTAGTTCCTTGTTTACAATATAATGCTGTCTGTTACCATTGATATAGCTACATTTTCTGAGCTAAACATTGATAAACGAGGCAGTTTACCCCAAGAGTTGTAATCATAGGTGTAATTTGCAGGGGGCTTAGGGGGGTTTAGGACCCCCAAAATAATTTGAAACAGTCAAAATCCCCCCCCCCCCCACCCCTTAAGACATCATTTGCGCAATAGAAATTAACTAGTTAAGTAGACAGATGCAACTCTTGTGGTCTTTAAGTATCTTTGACCTGATTAAAAAATTTATGTTATATACATTATGTACATTTAAGCATAATTGCTAAAAAAAATACATTCAGGGTTTTAGAGCATAATCCCCCCAATGGTAGACCTAAAGTTACGCCCTTGGTTGTAATTAACAGTCATAAAATTTAATTCATAGACATTAATCAAACAATCAAAAAACAAAACCTGAATCTACAATTAAACAACAAAATTTACCCTCATCTTTCACTGATTTTATCGTTGCAGACATACAGTGACAGGTTACA